AGACCAGTTGGTACTCACCAAAGTAGGGGTGTAGAACATTATCTTTGTTGACTGTGTTATGCCAATTGACCTTGCTTTCCCATGAGAGTGTGGCTCAGTGATCTCAAGGTGTTTGGTTATGGCTAGTTCTTAGAATGTTGCCTCTGTATGTCCCCCCATATTCATAGGTATATTTGCCACACAATTAATGCATATCCACACATATCCTCCATCAAACCTACATATATTTATGAGTATAGTTCCACTCTCCCTCCCACATCCTTTCTGCCTGCATGTCTACCAATGCATCTGCTCATAGGTCCCTGCTGTTTGGACTTTGTATCGACCTCTGGTGCCCTTACCTCTTGCACTTCTCCCATTGTCTTCCCTTGACTCCATCCTGTTTGCCAATCTCCCTTTTATTGTATATCACCTTCTCCTTCACCCAAATTCACATGTACCTACCCTCTAGCGAGAAATGGAAACAGAACATACAGAGAAGACATGAGATAAGTGATGTTATACCGAGGGGATTACAATGAATGAAATGTATATGAATTTCTGGATACAGAACTTATGATCTGCTCTGAAATTCACAATAAAGCTTTTGCTTTTTCAAGGATTGGGAGAGTATAATAAGAGAAACACCTCCTGTCTAAATGCAGGCATGTTCATACATAAATATATTCATATATAAGGATGGGGAAATAGATTTATGTACATATATTGATATGTTAAGTATTAAAGCAGCAGACATTGGGCCTCTATAATAATAGTTTATAAATTACCAAGGGTTCATGAGGGATGGAGGGTGGGTGAGGGAGGGAAAAAATGAGGAGCTGCTACCAAGGGCTCAAGCAGAAAGAAAATGTTTTGAGAATGTTAATGGCAACAAATGTACAAATGTGCTTGACACAATGGATGGATGTTTGTATTTGTGATAAGAGCTGTATGCGCCCCCAATAAACTGATTAACAAAACAGACAGAGAAGCACCACCTAAGGCCCACTTATTGTGAGAATTAATTTATTGTTGCTGTTATTGTTAGGTGCCATCCAGTCTGTTCCGAGCCACAGCAGCCCAATGCACAACTGAACGAGACACTCCCTGGTCCGGCACCATCGGCACAATTGTTCCTATACTTGAGTCCATGGCTGCAGCCACAACGTCAAGGAACGCAGCAGTCAAGAGATCAAATGATGCATGGTTTTGGGTAAATCTGCTGCACAACACATATTTAAAGTGTTAGAAAGCAAGAATGTTACTTTTAGAACCAATGTGTGCCTAACCCAAGTCATGGTATTTTAAATTGCTGTGTTAAGCAGAGTTCTCTAGAAAAACAAAACCAGGACACTTATGATTATATATACTGTATATACTTGTTTATAAGCCATGTTATTCAGCATATTTTTATGCAGTTTTTGTGGTAAAATTAGGTGCCTTGGCTGATATTTGGGTCAGCTTTTATATATATACATACTTGATTATATATATATATGAGCTAATTAGTCCACACAGCAGTACAGAAGGCTCAGTTCAACTCACTTTTGTGGAACAGTTAATATACTGGAAGTCCTTTAACTCATATGGGCTGCTGTGTCCAACCAAGGTCAAGGAAGCAGACAGCTTGGGCAAGGCAGGCAGAGTCTTCCCACAGGCAGCAACAGCAGGGTGAATCAGCAACAATGAGTAACTCGGGAGCTTAGCAAAGCAGGCCCAGATGGGATATCAAACTCAAGCAATGCAAGGCGACAGGATCCACCAGCCTCAAGCTCAAGTGATGTATGCACTAGCAGCAGCGTGGTAAAGCGGGTCTCGAAGGAGCTTCAAGCTCTAGTGACTTGATCCACAACCAACAGGTTGGCTTGGTCCACAGGGGTATAGCACACAGGCTGAGGCAGAGAACTAGCTAAAGCAGCAGCACACTGGTCCAATCACCAGAGAGAAAAGGAGACATGGGCAGGCCTTGCAGAGCCATTTATCTCTTTGCCCTCAATCAAACCGTGACCTGATTAATCCCACATGTTCCTATTGGCCAGGTTGGCACAGTAAACCTATCACAATTGCCTCATATGCATATGCAAGTTGGACACTGAATAAGGAAGACTGAAGAAAAATCAATGTGCGGGGAGCAGGGAGGGAGGGGGGAAATAAAGAGCTGATGCCAAGAGCCTAAGTGGTGAGCAAATGTTTTGAGAATGATGAGGGTAATGAATGTACAAATGTGCTTTACACAATTGGTGTATGTATGGATTGTGATAAGAGTTATATGAGCCCCCAATAAAACGATTAAAAAAAGAAAAAGAAAAATCAATGCATTTGAATTATAGTGCTGGCAAAGAATATTGAGATTACCATGGACTGCCAAAAGAGCAAACAAATGTCTCTCTGAAGAAGTACAACCAGAATGCTCCTGAGACGCAAAGAGGTCGAGACTTCATCTCATGTACTTTAGACACGCTGTCAGGAGAGAGCAGTCCCTGGAGAAGGACATCATGCATGTAACGTGGAGGGGCAGCGAGAAAGAGGAAGGCCCTTGACGAGATGGACTGACACGGTGGCTGCGCCCATGGCTTAAGCACAGACACCCGTGAGGATGCTTGAGCCTATGTGCAGGAGCAGGTGGTGTCTCATTCTCTTGTACAGCAGGTGGTCTCTATGATTTGGAACCAACTTGACAGACACTAAAAACAGTAGATTAAATCATACAGAAACTTTTGCTTTTTCATTTTCTCTTTAAGTCCATTCATAAGTCTGATTCTTCTCTAGCCTCTGCATATACAGCATAGTAATAGGAACAGTAGCTTTGAAGTCAAACACTCTGGGAACAAAATCTAGCCCTACCGTCCTCTTAACTGAGTTACTTAATGTCTCTGCCTCAGTTTCCTTAACTATAAAATGGGGGGATAAAAATCCCTACCTAAGTATATGTTATGGAATGAATTGTATACCCCCCACCCAAAATAAATATTATAGATCCTACCCCTTTGCCCTGCGATCGTAATCGCACTTGAGAATGGGCTTTCTTCATTATGTTAGTGAGTCAGTGAACGGAACTAAGTCAATCTTGAGTATCTTGAGCCAATCATCTTTTTTATTGACAGTCATCCTCTTTGAAATGTAAAAACAGATTAAGCAAGGAAGCAAGAAAATAAAGTTGGGACAAGATAGATGCCAAACCCTATGAAGATCACCAAGTGGCCAAGAATGAGATCCTTTCCACAGAATAGACGAGGAGAAAAAGCCTTCTCCTATGGCTGGCAGCCTCTTCAGCTGTGGGTAAAATCCATTTCTGTTCGCTAAAGGCACCCACTTGTGATATTTCTGTTATAACAGTACTAAATAATTACACGTGTAGTTGTGAAAATAAAGCGACTTTCTAAATATAAACCACCTGGAAGTACACTTGGAACACAAGTCCTGAAAAATGTTAGTACAGCTGAGGGCATTGGTGGGAAGGGGAAGTGGTGGTTCAATAAGCTTATCTCATTTATTGTGACCCCTCCCATCAGGCCCGTCTCATTTTCATATCTTTGCTAATGCCGACCAGCATTAGCTGGCTCTCCCTTTTTTAAATCCTTCAAGACCTAACAAATTCAAGCACCACCCTCTCTACACTGATCTACAATGACTGGCAGTAACCTGATTCTCTACTTGTAGGAGTTATAATCCGTAGCAGACACATTACTCTTGAATTCATATCATTTCTATTACTTTCTTGAAGCCCTTTTGGTGCAGTGGTTAAACAATTAAGCATAAAACCAAAAGCTTGGAGACTCTAACCCATCCACCGCTGCCTGGAGAAAGATGTGACTATCTGTTTCTATAAAGCTGTGCAGCCTTGGAAACCCTATGGGCCAGTCCACTTTGTCCTGTCGAGTTTGTATGACTCAGAATCAAGTCAATAAGCAATGAGTTTGGTTTGGTCTGTTGTTTTCTACTTGTGCCTGTATGTGATTCATGACTTCCCCGAGGAGAGATGTACTCACTGAAGCTCTGAATGATAGCTTATACTATCGTATTTCCTTCATGGAATACTCTGGTGGCATAGTGGTTACACATTGGGCTAATAATGGCAAGGTCAGTAGTTCAAAATCAGCAGCTTCTCCACAGAAGAAAAATAGGGCTTTCTATTCCTATAAAGAGTTATAGTCTTAGAAACTCACACTGGCAGTTCTACTCTGTCCTACAGGGTCACTATGAGTCAGCGCTGATACTTGTAGGTCAGACTAAGGCTCACAGTAATTTCAGATAGGATAGGAAATTTCCAATGCATCTACAACTGTTAAGAGTTGAACTAAAATGTGGACAGCCCTTTTGTCCACTGAAAATACAAAACGGGAAGATAAGGGAAATAGAAACTTAGACTTTATTTCCCCCTTCTATTGTATTTGGTTGCTCATAAGAACTGCTGATGGAGGGTAAAGTAGAGAAGGTGCTTCCTGAGTCGTTTCAGTGCCGTGTTTCTGGAGAAAGGTCTTTTTAATTGTGAACATCTGTGTAACATAAAACTCACCATGTTCTTTCTCTGACTTCTCTAACCTGTAAACAAATATACTGAAAAATAAAAACTTCTCCCATTAATGCCCAAGAGCCTATCACCTACATATAAAATGATGGCACTGATTCCTAGCTACCTGGGTTCCTTTAGAGTCATAAGAGAAGTCAACGCAGGACAAAGACATTGAGTTAGGCTGTCCTCCCTTCCCTGGGAAAGGCCTGTGGAACAGAGACGCATGACTGGCTGACCCATTTGACTGGTCTTGAGAGCAAGCTTAGATTACATCTAAAAGGCACATCTCTAAAATTCCATACTCTGTGGTTTCTTGTGCTGCTCAGTAAAGAGGGTTGTTTCAGAGTTAAGTATAAAGATGGTAAGTGCTGTTTTCGAAATACTCCCCAGTGAGAATTTTCCACCCAGAGCAACTTCTTATGGCTTCCTCTCTATAGGAACAGCCCGTTTGGGAGACGAAGGAAGGGGAAGCGGGATGAGGATGACAGAGAAGGGCTACAGTTCTTACTTGGATTGGGAGAGGCAGCCTGGTGCGACGAGGGTGGGATTCTCCTCCATGGTCTGGAGTGCAGTGAGTTCTACCATGTTGACCATCACATCGTTTGTATGGCCTGGGAGCTGGGGCAGCACAGAAATGATCTTCTCGACTAAGTTGTCGCCATGGTGTCCAACTGCTCCTGGTTAAGCAGACAAAAAAAGGATGTTATAAACTCACAAAACAGGAGGAAACTTTCAGTTAGATAAAAATAATACATCTCCTATCGAAAATAACAATTTTGTTGTGGTTGTTTCTGCTACGCAAATCAGTAACAGAAATCTAGTACTCTGCCCTTTATAGCACTGATCAAATTCACAATTATCTAGACAATGTCGGTCTCGTGGGTTGAAACTCAGTGCACCGTGAGGTCACACAGTGTCTACGCCCGCTACTCCTATATCCCAGCACCCGGCACAATGCCTGCATATGGAAGGAATCAATAAGTATTCACTGAATAAATCAATAAAGGATCAGGAGTGCTATAGCCAATAAAGAGTGCCATAGAATAGCAGCATATCAAAATTTTGGAACTGAAAATTGTTCTTCATTTTCCTGATGAAGACACTAAGATCCACAAAGGCTTAGAGATATAAATGCAAGAGTTGTGAATAGCAGTTCCCCTCCGAGCAAATCTAAGGATCACATGACAAAGACCCTGTTATCTCGTATGCACCACTCACAGCGTGGGACTTGACAGCTAGTAGGTGCTCATCAAGTGTTGGCTGAAAAAAGGAAAGCACGAATGAAAGGGTAGCAACTTCTAGTGAATTTAATTAGTGTTTTCCTGTGCCCCAGGCAGTGTTGTGCTTCATGCATATTAACTCTTTCAAAAACAAATAACTCAAAGAGCTCAAATTAAAATTGAAGACCAGCTCTGTTTCTCCGCCTTCCTGAGTGTAGTGTTGCTCAAACTTCACCATGTCACCTCATAAGACCTTCAGGATCAAGAGATTCCCAGCCAAGAAACCGAAGCAGCATCGGCCCATTCCCCAATGGATTCGAATGAAAACCGGTACTAAGATCAGGCACAACTCCAAGAGAAGACACTGGAGAAGAACCAAGCTGGATCTGTAAGGAGCCCCCCGAGGGATGGCACGCACAGGCACATTTGCCCAGGCTCAAATCATGTTGAGTTGCATTAAGATTTTTGCCACCATCTGATCAATTGAACTTGTATTGGCAAATTATCTGGTTTCTTCCTTGGTTTTTATGCTTCCGCATCTAGTTTAACAATCAATAATGTAAGGCTGTTTGTTTAAAATTAAAAAATTAAAGACCGGTGACACAGTTCACGCTTTTTCCATGAAACTAAGCAATATCCCCAACAGCCACTGTTGCTTAGAACAACATATCATTCCAGTGATGGGTGGGAGTTACCATAGCTACTATTTCAATCCCACTCACTCTAAATTAACTAAGATTTTGTTTCCTAATCTCTCGCTCTCTGTCCCTCCTGAACTACCTCTCTTGCTTATTCATAATCTCATTTCTCTCTCTCTCTCTCTCTCTCTCTCTCTC